CATCCCATAGGTTTTGGGTCATCATGTCTCCGTTGTCATTTGTTTCTAGGTATTTTTTGATTTCCTCTTTGATTTCTTCAGTGATCACTTCGTTATTAAGTAGTGTATTGTTTAGCTTCCATGTGTTTGTATTTTTTCAGATCTTTTCCTGTAATTGTAATCTAGTCTCTTAGTGTTGTCATCAGAAAAGATACTTGATACAATTTCAATTTTCTTAAACTTACCAAGGCTTGATTTGTGACCTGGAGAATGTTCCATGAGCACTTGAGAAAAATGTGTATTCTGTTGTTTTTGGATGGAATGTCCTATAAATATCAATTAAGTCCATCTTGTTAATGTATCATTTAAAGCTTGTGTTTCCTTATTTATTTTCATTTGGATGATCTGTCCATTGGTGAAAGTGGGGTGTTAAAGTCCCCTACTATGAATGTGTTACTGTCTATTTCCCCTTTTATGGCTGTTAGTATTTGCCTTATGTATTGAGGTGCTCCTATTTGGGTGCATAAATATTTACAATTGTTATATCTTCTTCGTGGATCGATCCCTTGATCATTATGTAGTGTCCTTCTTTGTCTCTTCTAATAGTCGTTATTTTAAAGTCTATTTTGTCTGATATGAGAATTGCTACTCCAGCTTTCTTTTGGTTTCCATTTGCATGGAATATCTTTTCCATCCCTTACTTTCAGGCTGTATGTGTCTCTAGGTCTGAAGTGGGTCTCTTGTAGACAGCATATAATGGGTGTTGTTTTTGTATCCATTCAGCCAACCTGTGTCTTTTGGTGGGAGCATTTAATCCATTTACATTTAAGGTAATTATCGATATGTATGTTCCTATTCCCATTTTCTTAATTGTTTTGGGTTCGTTATTATAGGTGTTTTCCTTCTCTTGTGTTTCTTGCCTAGAGAAGTTCCTTTAGCATTTGTTGTAAAGCTGGTTTGGTGGTGCTGAACTCTCTCAGCTTTTGCTTGTCTGTAAAGGTTTTAATTTCTCCATCAAATCTGAATGAGATCCTTGCTGGGTAGGGTTGCAGGTTTTTCTCCTTCATCACTTTAAATATGTCCTGCCAGTCCCTTCTGGCTTGCAGAGTTTCTGCTGAAAGATCAGCTCTTAACATTATGGGGGTTCTCTTGTGTGTTATTTGTTGTTTTTCCCTTGCTGCTTTAATATGTTTTTTTTGTATTTAATTTTTGACAGTTTGATTAATATGTGTCTTGGCGTATTTCTCTTTGGATTTTTCCTGTATGGGACTCTCTGTGCTTCCTGGACTTGATTAACTATTTCCTTTCCCATATTAGGGAAGTTTTCAACTATAATCTCTTCAAATATTTTCTCAGTCCCTTTCTTTTTCTCTTCTTCTTCTGGAACCCCTATAATTCGAATGTTGGTGCATTTAATGTTGTCCCAGAGGTCTCTGAGACTGTCCTCAGTTCTTTTCATTCTTTTTTCTTTATTCTGCTCTGCAGTAGTTATTTCCACTATTTTATCTTCCAGGTCACTTATCTGTTCTTCTGCCTCAGTTATTCTGCTATTGATCCCATCTAAAATATTTTTAATTTCATTTATTGTGTTGTTAATTGTTGTTTGTTTCATCTTTAGTTCTTCTAGGTCCTTGTTAAATGTTTCTTGCATTTTGTCTATTCTATTTCCAAGATTTTGGATCATCTTTACTATCATTATTCTGAATTCTTTTTCAGGTAGACTGCATATTTCCTCTTCATTTGTTAGGCCTGGTGGGTTTTTAATCTTGGTCCTTCATCTGCTGTGTGTTTTTCTGTCTTCTCATTTTGCTTATCTTACTGTGTTTGGGGTCTCCTTTTTGCAGGCTGCAGGTTCATAGTTCCCATTGTTTTTGGTGTCTGTCCCCAGTGGCTAAGGTTGGTTCAGTGGGTTGTGTAGGCTTCCTGGTGGAGGGGACTAGTGCCTGTGTTCTGGTGGATGAGGCTGGATCTTGTCTTTCTGGTGGGCAGGTCCACGTCTCGTGGTGTGTTTTGGGCTGTCTGTGGACTTATTATGATTTTAGGCAGCCTCTCTGCTAATGGGTGGGGTTGTGTTCCTGTCTTGCTAGTTGTTTGGCATAGGGTGTCCAGCACTGTAGCTTGCTGGTCGTTGAGTGAAGCTGGGTGCTGGTGTTGTGATGGAGATCTCTGCGAGATTTTCGCCGTCTGATGTTATGTGGAGCTGGGAGGTCTCTTGTGGTCCAGTGTCCTGAAGTTGGCTCTCCCACCTCAGAGGCACAGCACTGACTCCTGGCTGCAGCACCAAAAGCCTTTCATCCACATGGCTCAGAATAAAAGGGAGAAAAAGTAGAAAGAAAGAATTAGTATAAGAAGAAAGAAAGAAGGAAAGAAAGGAAGGAAGAAAGAAAGAAAGAAAAAGACAGAAAGAAAGAAAGGAAGGAAGAAAGAAAGGAAGAAAGGAGGGAGGGAGGGAGGAAGGGAGGAAGGAGGGAAGGAAGGAAGGAAAAAAGAAAGAAAGAAAGAAAGGAGGGAGGGAGGGAGGAAGGAAGGAAGGAGGGAAGGAAGGAAAAAAGAAAGAAGATAAAGTAAAATAAAATAAGATAAAATGTAGTAAAGTTATTAAAATAAAGAATAATTATTACGAAAAATAAAAAAAAAACGGACGCATAGAACCCTAGGACAAATGGTGGAAGCAAAGCTATACAGACAAAATCTCACACAAAAGCATACACATACACACTCACAAAAAGAGGAAAAGGGGAAATAATAAATCTTGCTCTCAAAGTCCACCTCCTCAATTTGGGATGATTGGTTGTCTATTCATGTATTCCACAGATGCAGGGTACATCAAGTTGATTGTGGAGCTTTAATCCGCTGCTTCTGAGGCTGCTGGGAGAGATTTCCCTTTCTCTTCTTTGTTCTCTCAGCTCCCAGGGGCTCAGCTTTGGATTTGGCCCCGCCTCTGCGTGTAGGTCGCTAGAGGGCGTCTGCTCTTTGCTCAGACAGGTCGGGGTTATAGGAGCAGCTGCTTCGGGGGCTGTGGCTCACTCAGGCCGGGGGAGAGGGAGGGGCACGGAGTGCGGGGCGGGCCTGCGGCGGCAGAGGCCGACTTGACGTTGCACCAGCCTGAGGCGCGCCGTGTGTTCTTCCGGGGAGGTGGTCCTTGGATCCCGGGACCCTGGCAGTGGCGGCTGCACAGGCTCCCCGGAAGGGGGGTGTGCATAGTGACCTGTGCTCGCACACAGGCTTCTTGGTGGCGGCAGCAGCAGCCTTAGCGTCTCATGCCCGTCGCTGGGGTCCGCGCTGTTAGCCGCGGCTCGCGCCCGTCTCTGGAGCTCCTTTAAGCAGCGTTCTTAATCCCCTCTCCTCGCGCACCAGGAAACAAAGAGGGAAGAAAAAGTCTCTTGCCTCTTCGGCAGCTCCAGACTTTTCCCAGGACTCCCTCCCGGCTAGCTGTGGCGCACTAACTCCCTGCAGGCTGTGTTCACGCCGCCAACCCCTGTCCTCTCCCGGCGCTCCGACCGAAACCCGAGCCTCAGCTGCCAGCCCCGCCCGCCCCGGCGGGTGAGCAGATAAGCCTCTAGGCCTGGTGAGTGCCGGTCGGCCCTGATCCTCTGTGCGGGAATCTCTCTGCTTCTCCCTCCGCACCCCTGTTGCTGTGCTTTCCTCTGTTGCTGTGCTCTCCGCCGCAGCTCCGAAGCTTTCCCCCTCCGCCACCCGCAGTCTCCACCCGAGAAGGGGTTTCCTACTGTATGGAAGCCTTTCCTCCTTCACAGCTCCCTCCCACTGGTGCAGGCCCCGTCCCTATCCTTTTGTCTCTGTTTTTTATTTTTTCCTTTGCCCTACCCAGGTACGTGGGGAGTTTCTTGCCTTTTGGGAGGTCTGAGGTCTTCTGCCAGTGTTCAGTAGGTGTTCTGTAGGAGTTGTTCCTCGTGTAGATGTATTTCTGGTGTTTTCTGTGGGGAGGAGGGTGATTTCCGTGTCTTACTCTTCCGCCATCTTCCCCTCTCTTCCATCTTGGTCTGTTTTCACAGCCCAGATTACTATTACTCTCTCTTTTTGTCTTCTAACCCTTTGTTTCAGAGTCTTGCATTTCTTCTGTGTCCAAGGGCTCATTCATTAACTACTAAATTATGTGCATGTGGTCTTGTAGCCCTCCAGCTGTGTGCTCGACCCCAATCTAGTCAAATAAAGTTTTAATTTTCAGTGGCATCAGGTGTGCATTTTCAAAAGGTGGTTCTCACTGTGAAGGGCAGACATGAGGTAGGGGCAGGGATGAGAGCCAGAGGGCTGATGAGACCCTGTTTTGGGGAGAGGCAGAGCCTGCTCGGTTAGCAGAGCTGCAGCAGGAGCAGTGGAGGTTTTGTTTTCATCCATGTCAAGTGAGTGAAGGGTGGTCTTCCGGGTGTTTTTCAAGACCTAAGCTAACCTCACCCCTCATCTAGCCCCCGGTCAGGTACCCTGCAGACACCTACTGCATTTGTGTCGTGCCACTGAGGGCGGAGGAAGTTAGAGGTCTCCTTCTTACTTTGACAGCTTCACTCTCAGTTTTACAGTGACTGCAGATGTTCTAGAGCCCCTTTCTCACTTGCTTCTCGACGTTTCTTTCTTCTATAACCTGTGGTGTGTCAGAGGCAACAGTTACCACCTCGGACATAGAATTGTTAGCATTTCTTCCCAATTCTGTGTTAGGTGACATGGAGTTGATAGCTTGAAATGGACATGGTGGAAATATTTACCCAATTGAAGTTGGAAAAGGCTACAAATCAGGGCTCCCCCACCTCTAGAGAACCTGTTGTTTAACATTTAGCTGCACACGGTTTCTGTAACCCTTCTGCTTCTGCTCACCACACAAACCAAAGGGAGAGAGAGAAAGAGAGAAGAAAAACATGTTTAAGGGATTGAATACCATGGATTTTCTTCCATGGGACTACGGTGATTTCTAAGAGGAAAAACTTGAGTTCCTTTTCTTTCCCTATCCGAAGTTTTGCATTTATTTCCAAAAGGCCAAATATAGGCTAACTTTCTTCTCTCTCCTCCAGTGGACGGCTGTATTCACAGAGCAGCTGGCCCCTGTTTGGTCGCTGAATGTCGTAACCTGAACGGCTGTGAAACTGGACATGCAAAAATCACGTGTGGCTATGACCTGCCTGCAAAATGTGAGTACAGCTCTTTTGAACACTTTCAAAATCAGATGAGCACTCTTACCTTGTTCTAGTCCTCAAGTGGGTAACTGGAAGAGGAAGTGGTAGCAGTGGTATTTAATTGAATGTACTTTTATTAAGATTTTGTACACGGTAATGAAATGTGTTTTCCAAATACGTCTCCGAGTATATAAATGTGCGATGTTTAATTGTAGGTGATTTTTGCTCGGATCTTTGACAGAGGGTCTCTGAAACAGAGAAATAAAAATATGAGCATAGTATACCTTATAGTATTTAAGTGCCGTGGAGTGACAGCTTCTAGAAATGATGCCAATTTCTTATTCCTTGTTCAGGTTTCTTGATTGTGGATGTGTTTAGAGCAAAGGAGATCAAAGTGATGTATTGTGTTTTCAGCTGCCATGTAAAGGCTGATTGGCAATTACAGCCGAGGCATCTGTCACACTTGGCTTTCAGGAAAAGCCATTGGAATGTGGTTGTCAGAGTGAGAATGTATTTGCTCTTTGAATGTGGAATGGTCAAATTTTCCGTTATATTTGAATGGAGAGAAGTATTGCATTTGATTGACCTTGTTGCTTAGTCGTTTAGCCAGCTGGGTGGGGTGATGTGGAGTAAAAATACTGAAAGAGAAGCTGGTTAAAGGAACAGATTTTTTTTATCACATAATCTGGGGTTGGGGGGTGGAGGTAGAGGGTTTCATTGCACCATTAAGTCATGCATTGATTGGAAATTGGGAAACCAATTAGTTGTTTATTCCATTCACCTGCTTTATATGATAACTCCTGGTGAATACATGTTTTGTAAAAGTGAAGCTGATTTTTTTTTTTTTTCTGTTTTAGTAGTGGAGAATATGTGACTTAAAAGTTATGACACAATCTTTGGGCTTTGTATAGACAGGTTGTATAAAAATGAATTTCTTATGGATATGTGTGAGTGGAGAGGTAGTGTGTTCTATTTTAAAGTATGTTTACATTTGAAGATTTTTAGTAAACAGTAATATATTAAAATGGTATTTTTCTTTGTAACATTATAATACTGCATTCTGTATACCTTACGGTGTGTTGCTAGTGAGAGTATATCCACTATATACTGTTTAATTTTTCCTTTAATGACTTCTCATTTTTCTTTCCTTGTTAGTGTTTTTACCTTGTGTGAAAGTCAAATCATGGGCCAAATGGCCCTCCGTCCTACTTGGAATATATATTTATGTCAAATAAAGTCCCTTGTGTGTAATGGTGTTTAGAGCACCTCTCCCTCTGACTCAGAGGCGCTGAGTGTTAAAGGTGGTTTCCCTTTCCAGGATTATATGGCTCCGTGTTTACCAAGATTGGTCATTCTTCCTTCTTACCACCATACCACCTCTGTGATATATAATAGTTGACAGATTCCACCTGAGGACAAGCAGATTATTGATGATTTTCAGATTTAAGGTGTCTGTACTTAAACCTAGTCTCCTATTGATTCACTACTTTCTTTCTTATGAATTAAAGCACAAATCAAAAATGTCTCAACTCTGAAATTTCTGAAGACAGCTAACCTCAGAATCATTAAATATGACCAAATAAAATGGTGGCTCTGCTGTATGGATTGACACCACGGTGATTTTGTTTCATGCGCTTGCCCCTGTTTGACATCCCTTTGTATGAGCTTCCTTTGATCGTCATTCAGCTCAGTTCAGGGCTGTTGAAGGCTTGCACACCACCAGGCACTAAGGTACAAAGATCAATCTATACCTGTGCTTGAGAAATTCCACGATTGGATTTCCTGGGCAGCCTGGGGCAAGTGAGTCTTTGTGTGACAAGGACTCTAGCCATGGAAAGTCAATCCACAGAACTCAGTACAGAATCTGTGTGAGCTGAGATACTGAATCAGATGACACACATTCAAGTCACTGTGCACCAGCCCACAGGGCACGTCTAGTAAAAAAATCATCCAGCAGGATAGAAATTCCCAGACTAGAATGGCAGTGCCACCTCAAGAAAGTCACAAACATGGAGTATTTGTGACTAGATCTTGATATTTCTCTACGTTTAATGAGATTAATGATTTATATTAAAAACATAAAAGCAATGAAAGCAATAAGGAATGAGTAATAATAGCTTACATTTTGCATACCACTTTGTAGTGTGTCATAGTACTTTCACAAAGCCTTGTATTTTAAATTATATTTTATAAATACTGTGTATGTTCATTTTCCCTTTTCCTATCCCTGAGAGATCTTTTTCTTTCTCATCAATTTGGTTCATCCATTTCAGACTCATTAACAATCCACAGATGTGCTTTTGTAGAGAGAGAATGAAAAGGGAGCTCATTACATACTGTTTGGGTCATTTTCCCCCTCCATATTTAATAATTCCATGACAGTTTGACAGCAGAATCTAGTTCCTATTTGTCCTCTGTGACAGCGGTTTTATCATTTAAGGTACTACAGCCAGCCATCCAGTCACCAGTGATAATATCTTCGCGCATCAGCAATTTGGAAAATGCTGTTGTCTGGGTTACAGACAAACTTGGTAATTTTGGACTGGTCTTTGCTTTTTTCATGCTTGCTAAATTAATTTATTCATAAATGCTTGTATTTGAATTACTTATACTTAGAGTCTGTATTCTGTGATTCATCATGATCAGTGGAATGATAAGCCTCAAAGGTTTAGTGTTTCTTCACTGCTTGGATATTTTGAATGATGTCTTTTGATGTGGAATAGCCGATCATTCTTTTCAGAAGTAATCTTAAGAGTGGAAAGAATATTGGCCAATACTTCACTGAAGGCTATTGGTAAATAAATGACTTAGAAAGTGGACTAAGGACTGTTTATACAATTTGATCTTTTGGTATGTTCTCTTTTACAATATTAGATTTTTTTTTGGATTCGTAATAACATTTAGATTTCCATGGAGTTTTAGAAGCTTGTCAACCTGTTGAATGTTTCTATTCATGCTCTCATCATTCTACCGGAGGGTCAGCTTCATGTGGGTGAGGGTTGTCTGTCTCAGTCATGATCCTAATGTTGATATCTAGCATATGTGCTGAATTAATGAATGAGTGATCAAATGAGTTGTTTCAGACATTTTCACCTGGCAAATAGATTTTTGCCTGCTGCTTCTACTTCTAATTCTTTCCCTCCTTCACTCCACTCTGCCCAGTCCTGTAGATTAATATTCTTAAGTCCAGAGTCCCTGTAATTGTCCACAATGCTCTAGACGTGTGACACCCCTCTACCTCCTTCTGTCCTCTCCCTCACTCACACGGGCTGCTTTGCTGGATCTTCAATGCCTTTGCATCAGTGTTCCCTCTGCCTGGAATTCTAGTCTTCCAGACACCTGGGTTGTTTGCTCCCTCACCTACGGTACTTCAGATCCTTGCTCAGGTGTCCCCTCAGGTGTCATCCTAACCAACCTATTTTTAATTGCTCCTCTGCTTTATTTATAATTGCTTATCTATAGCATTTAACATTCAAATACACAGTATCATTTACTTATTTATTTTGTTTCTTGTCTGTCTCCCCATACCAGAATGAGGGCAGAGCTTTTTTTCTGCATCTTCTTCATTTATTGTTGGAAAAACTACTTAGAAAAATGTATGATTTAGAAAAAATGCTTAGAAAAATACTTGACACATAACAGGGGTTCAAAAAATATTTGTCGAATGAATGAATAAAATCTAACTGTACTCCTCTCCAAATCCTTCAGTGGGTTTTTCCTCAAACACACACTTGTTAACCTGATTATCTTCGGCCTTCCATGATTTACTGTTCTGTCTTGAGCTACTTACAACCTTTTATATGATCTGAATTGCTCAGAATGGCATGTCTGTACATGGGCTCTGTATTGGGGGCTTTCTAGAAAATTCTGTCTTTCTTCCTTTCTACTTGTCTTCCAGACTCAGCTCACATATCACTTCTGCCATAAAACAATTCAACTAAAAGTGCCTTCTTTTGCCTCAAGATCCAGAAAACTGCATGTTAACGTGCTGAGGGCCCTTTTTACTTACTACATTTTATTGTTGTATATGCAAACTTTCCACCTTTCTAGAAGTCCCTTGTTTATAATGTATACTAGCGAAATACCTATCAAATGAATTAGTTGTTAAAGGTGAAGATTGGTTTATAATTGTTGGGGGGGGATGTAAAAAACGTATATTAATATTTCTAAGAAATTATGAAATCAGTGATAGATATCCATTGTGGTTTTTATTTTTAAAATTTTATTTATTTTATTTTTTGGCTGCATTGGGTCTTCGTTGCTGAGTGCAGGCTTTCTCTAGTTGTGGCAAGTGGAGGCTACTCTTCATTGTGGTGCACAGGCTTCTCATTGCGGTGGCTTCTCGTTGTGGAGCATGGGCTCTAGGTGTGCGGGCTTCAATAGTTGCAGCATGTGGGTTCAGTAGTTGTGGCTCGCGGGCTCTAGAGCACAGGCTCAGTAGTTGTGGCACACGGGCTTAGCTGCTCTGCGTCATGTGGGATCTTCCCCAACCAGGGCTCGAACCCCTGTCCCCTGCACTGGCAGGTGGATTCTTAACCACTGTGCCACCAGGGAAGTCCCCCATTGTGTTTTTAAATCATATTTTAACATACATCTAATTCCAAAGTCTCTTGTCTAAGAAATTCACTCTTTTCTTAAATTGAAATATAGTTGATTTACAATGTTGCCTTAGTTTCAGGTGTACAGCAAAGTTATTCAGTTATATATATATATTCTTTTTCAGATTCTTTTCCATTATAGGGTATTACAAGATATTGAATATAGTTCCCTGTGCTATACGGTAGGTCCTTGTCATGTATTTTATATACAGTAGTGTTTATCTGTTAATCCCAAACTCCTAGTTTATTACTGCCCCCCACCCTACCGCCCTTTCCCCTTTGGTAACCATAAGTTTGTTTTCTATGTCTCTGAGTCTATTTCTGTTTTGCAGATAAGTTCATTTGTATCATTTTAAGAAATTTTCTCTTAATGGACCTTCTCCTAAAAGTAAACAAATAAAAATAAGAAGCCATATC